ATCATTTCCAGGATGGTAGGTGGGGGCAGTGCAGCTGAAGTGAGCTGCGCTCTCTCATGACAAGCAATATTTTATGAAGCCAGGATTTCTTATAACTCTTTTTATTTTAATTTAATCTGTATGTGCCTAAATTCTGTTATCAATTTACGCATTTGCTTTATCTAACTTTTTTTCCTCTCTTACAGGATTTTTTACCGCTCATATTAACGGAGCTGTGTATTCTTTTCAATGCGGGCCCCTGGCTGGCGAGCGGCGATGCTTCTGCGCTGACTTATGAAGGCAGGGACCCGATCAGCGGCAGAGCGGTGCAGTGTGACCGCTGCCCGCCGGGGACCTTCCTGCGCGCCACATGCTCCTCCGTTAAAAAGAGCGAGTGCTCTCCGTGTCCGCAGGGCTCCTTCACGGAGCTCTGGAATTACATCGGAAGATGTTTGCGCTGCGGTGTCTGCGGAAGGAACCAGGTGGTGAAGAAGGAGTGCACCGCAGACAGCGACTGTCAGTGCGAGTGCAAAGAAGGATACTTCTACGACCAGAGATATGAAACCTGCCTTCCACACAAAGAGTGTCCCTCTGGATCTGGGGTTCTCGCCAAAGGTAAACCCTCCAAACTTTCTGAACAGCGTTTTATACTTTCTTTATAATCATTTTTTGTTTATTTATATGCTTTAATAATTATGTGGCATGTTTTTTTATTTTTTATTTTTTTTTGCAGGTACACCCGTGAAAGACACAGTGTGCAGCATCTGCTCTCCTGGGACCTTCTCCAACATTTCATCCACTGACCGAAGCTGCGCTCAGCACAGGAACTGCAGCGAAGCAGGGCTGGTGTTGGTACTGAAGGGCTCCACTTGGCATGATAATGTGTGCGCAAACTGCGGAGAGCTCAAAGGTAATGCGCTCTTTGAAGCACAAATAGACAGTGATTATTTAAAGCCTATAATAAGTGGTTTAAAAATAGTTCTCTTTCCTCTCAAACCCGGTTTGGTCGGTTCCTGTCAGCCTGTCTACTCTATCTAATTAGATGTTAGAGATTAAAGTAACTGATGACATAGACAGAAAATCTGAGTCATTTCTGGAGAGCAGAGGAGCTAGGATCAGGGGCGGATTTAGGAAATTTGGGGCCCTAGGCAAAGACAGACATGGGGCCCTCTGGATTAAGGGCCCCAATAGACCAGGGCCATTTCTCAATATCAAGTGAGCGTTCTCATTTACTCCTGATACGACATCAGTTCCGATTGTCGAGAACGCCAGACCGAGAACGCACCAAATCCCCGGATGTAATTCTCGCCCTGCCCTCTTTATGGAGTATGCATCAGAGCAGACTTGTCCCTTTTTGAGATTCACAGCTGTCCCAGCATGCACTGCGGCAGCAGCAACTTTCAATGAAGCGCTTTATTGAAAGTTAAAAGTTCTCTTTCTGTTGCTGTTGTTCAATAAAAGTACGTTTTAAGATCATTTGAGGCGAGAATATTATACTTTAAAGCGTCACTATCTGGTCCATTTACTGATTTAATGCGGAATTTAAAAAAAAAAGATTTCAGAAGTTAAGAGCACCGCGGCAACCAGCGGAGCTCCGAAGCTAGCGGCAGCCATGGCTAACCGCAGCCCGTCTATAGCAGCCCTCTCTCGGCATAGTCTTGTGTGAAGGACCACTGGCTCTTATGGGGATTTTTATTTTTATTTTTTGGCAAAATATTCATTTGATTTGTGTTTATCTGACTTTCTTAATTATTATTCCACTACTAAATGAAAAAAGTCAGAATTTATTATTACATAGAGACTATTAATAACAAGAGGTGAAACGCAGCTCTAGATGAGCTAAGCATGTGGTGACATCACCAGTACGCTTTTGTTCCAATTGACCCATACAGTATCTATGCTTTATGCTCGCATTCTCGCGTTCTCTGTGTTCTTCCCAAGACCGGACTTGACGAGAACACGAGTATGGACTCATGAATTGAGAAACGGCCCAGGGTGTCCACGACCCCTAGGGGGTACTCAGAGGTACTGCATGGGGGTCACAAAAGTTCTGGTTGATTAGAATTTTTATTTTTATATTCCTCCCCTGCAATTTTTTTTCACTAATTGAAATGTCTTTATATCCACATGAACATGAATTGAACACACTGTAGTAAACAGATAAATGGAGGCAGAAGATGTCTTTCAGTCATCAATGCACACATTCAGTGACACACAGGAGCTCTTTCAAGCTGAGCACCGTTTCATTCACAACACCCATCCCATCAACGAGGAATCAGAATCAGAAATACTTTAATAATCCCAGGGCGAAATTACTGCCGTTACATTACTCCATCTGTAAGAGAGTGACTGTAGGACCAGTTTGTTAAAACACAATTTCATACAATATATGTAATTAGTGGGTCCCCACTCCATCAGTTTGGGGGTCCTTGGACTGGAAAACATTGAAGACCCCTGGAATAGACAAATATTATTTGCTAAATTTTAACTGCCCTTAATGATTTTTTTATGATATCTGAAATGATGTTGCGTCTAGGGAAAATAACAGTTAAAGATATCTTTAATCACATTTTGGAGAGTCAAAATGCCTTTTGAGAGATCATCTGATTTGTCATTTCAATTTTAAATATGATTATTTCCCTAATAGTTCATACGAGATTACAAGGAAAACTTTTAATTTTACTTTGGATTTTTTTTTTGTCGTTGATTATGTAAATATCAGATTATACATTATTTAAATGTCTTTGCTCACTATAACGATTTACATCTTTCCCAAACAATGATTTATGACTGCTGAATATGTTTATTCACTTTCTACCTCCTGAATGACATGTAACTTCCTGTCTCCTCTCTGTAGATGGGGCAATGTATCTCAAAGAAATCATCCCAGCCTTTTTCATGCATCATCCAATGAAAATCCAACGGCTGCGTCGAATCGTGCAAAGGCTTCCATCTGAGGATGAAAAAAAGCAGGGAAGACCTTCGGAGCTCAGCTTCTCAAAACTACACTCACAAATCAGCAGTTGGGTTTCATCTGCCACCCCAGAGCAAATCTGGCAGCTTTCAGCAGTTCTGCTTAAAAACAAGGCCATCCATGCTGGGGAAAAACTACAGAGAAAGTTGAATAGAATTGTCAATAATCTATCAATGCAATGTGAGGGAGGTAGATAGCTTTAGTGGTAAGAAATATCTTCTGGATGTGTCCAATGTTTCACAGGCTATAAAAACTTTGTGTCATATTAAATTCCCTCCTCTTTGTAGAGACTTCTTTTTATGAAAACATTGAGTCAAAGTTAGATTAGTATAGGTTATTTTGCTCACAAACACACAGTTTTTCTTGTTTTAAATAATTTTTTGGAGATAGTTTTTTTTCACCCAAGGTGATCTAAAATAAGTAAAGGATATACAGCAAGCTGGAAATGTACACATAATCTTTTAAAAGTCAGCCTGCATTTATCTACCTCCCCTATTTATTCTTACCTAAGACAGATTCAGCACATTTCACTGTTATTTCTGAAGTATTATTGAGGTACCTGTCTATAGAATACATGTCAGGAGTGATGTATTAATTTATTTTGAATAAAACTGTTATCAGAAAAGCAATATCTGAAAACATTTTGCACTATAAATGAAGTTTAAGAAATAAAGTTCCTAAAACTAATAATTGTATTGCTCTTAAATGTTTCAGCTTGGTCTTCTACCAAAACTTCAATACAACTATAAGTTTGAATATCAGCGACAATGTGTGGCAGAATAATGGCAATAACCATAAGACAATCCTTAATTTTGGTGTTGTTACATTTTGTATTTAAGTGTTCACACCTAGAAAGGAAAATAGGAAAAAGGCAGCAACAGATCTGGTTTTCCCCAAAAAATATGTTAGCTTTCTATCAATGTAACAAAGCAACAGAAATAGTTTAAAAAAAACCCTTTCAGCAAAATACACACACTGATACCTAGATTCCCATCTAGAAGACAGAGGACAAAATGTATTTTTTTAGTAAGCTTATATCCAGCCCAATTGCTTCAGCGTCAATGACACAATACAAGTGAATATCTACGTTTGCCATTTGCTCTCTAGGAGAAGCCATCAGTTGGTTTTCTAGATCTAAAAACCTTTCTGTATGAATTTGATCGAATTGTCTTTGTAAAGTTGCAGGAAATTATTTCTTGGAATCTGTGCTATATAAACAACTTAATCATAAACTTAATTCAAACTCTCATATAGAATGTATAAAACAAAAACTAAGTAAAAGTATTGAATTCTAAATTAAGCGCAACATGGTTTAGAGTTATCAAAACTCCAAATATTATATTATTAATTTATTGTTCCATATCTGACTTATTGTATAGAAGTATGGGTTAACAGGCATGAAACCAACACTAAACCTCCTTAGGAAGATTCCAAGGGCCCTTGACTGAGGGGGGGCCCAAAAGAAGAAGAAAAGATATGTCCCAATACATATTTCATATATAAAAAGAAAATCCCGCAGTAAAATAAATTATCTTTGTGTTCTCCCGGATCTTTCAGCATTAAAGGTATAAAGGAAGATCTTTTATTTCCAGTTGGATCATCTAACTAAGTGGTCCTCCTAATTGTCAGTCATTCTGATGATATATTTATGTAAAGCCATCCTATATGCTCATACCTTTAGGTATATGTTTCTGCTCATGCGCACTTTCAGGTGTTTATCTGTGGTGAGCTATGGTTGCAGACGGTCATTGAAGTTCACCTTTCTCACCAAGGTTCTTTGAAAATGGCCGAAGGCCTTAAGAGAAAAAGTGTGTATGAGAACAGCTTTGACTAATAACAAAGGTGGCACAGGCACCACGCAGTGAAGGAGAAATAACGTGACCAACAGAGCATGAAAGCAGTGATCATCTGTCTGAACGGTCAGTTAAATGAGTTTGATATAAAGTCCACTATATAGTCCCCACTCTATATAGTGATTGAGGGATTTAGGGGTTAGTGTCATGATGGGTTCAGAAAAGCCCAATATGCAGAACACAAC